AACTTTCTCAGTTTTTTTCGGTTAGGGAATATTTATCGCCTAGAAATTTTTGAGCACTTCGGTCTTCTTCTTTTAATTCTTCCAAGTCCAAAGTTGCTTGCGGGTTATAATCTCTGGCTCTTAAATAAGCAGCCAACTGGTATTCACCAGGTTGCAGACCGGCTCTTACTCATTGTTCTGCTTCTTGATAACTAAAATAGTTGTTTTTTCATTCTCTTTCTGCTCACTCAGTAAATTCTGGGTGAATTTCTTGTCAATTCTCATTGGTTTCCCGGTTAAGGAAAGAATTTAGTTCCTCAGTTATTTCTTTTAACTTGTTTTCTGGCCTTTGAGAAGTGGAATAGCGAATCTTGGTGACACTAGTTGGCAGGCAATTAACACCACTATCTATATCAGTGTTGCTAATTCCTAAATCACTTAGCCTAATTAGATTTTTTAAAGATTCGAGAGAACCAATAAAACGATTGTAAACACCTTGGTCTATTTTTTCTTTATCATCACTGCCAATACGCAAGTCTTCTAAATTGGTAAACTCTTTAAAGACTTCTATATCCTGTTCCGGAAGATTATTATTGTCGATGATTAGTCCGGTTAATTTTTGTGGGTCTAAGGAGGAATAATCTAAGTTAGTCAAGAGATTATCATTGGCATAAAGAACTTTTAAATTTTTTAAACCGGTTAAGTCTAAACTGGTGAGTTGATTAAAGCAACAATCCAGTTTTTCTAAATTAGTGAAATCTTTTAAGTCTAAATGACCTTCTAAGTTTTTTCCTCTCAGGAGGAGATTTTTTATTGAATTTCTTATTTCTTTGGGATAATTTTTGTTTAGGTATTCTTGGGCTTGAGGCATACAATGATTTTACATGTTTAATATTTTTTACAATTTGGAAGATATTTTCTTATCCACTACTTCTATATGTGCTTCAAATTGATTTTCTAACTGGCTGTCAACTTTCCTTTCCAACTCATTACCACTTTCTTCCAACTTAACTAAGCCTATTCTACGGTACCCTCGAGCAGTTTTTTTTACTAATAAAGCAAATGAAAATTTCTTTCACTCTTTTCCATTTTCAATTTTAACAGCTTTTCAATCTCTCTCATCAGGTATTAAAAGTGCTAGTTCACTCAATTTGCATTGATCTATTTTTCCTTCTTTCTCTGGCTCCCCTAGAGTTTCCTTTGTTCCTTCTAAGATTATTTCTATGTTATTATTTACTGTAACCTTTCTTTTAGAAAAAGAATCTTTCTCTATTTCATTGTTTTTGTTTAGTCTATAGAAGAACTTGCTAGATTCTTCAATTCTTTCATAAGGAACAATACCACCAACTTTGGTTATAGGATATTCTATGGCTCTCTTCATTATCATAACACCATCTTCGGTAAATTTAGCAGTACCCGGAGCACAAAAAACATCCAGATTTTTTTCTGCTACACTCGTCCCAACCCGCTCTATTTTTGGTAATCAATCTTTAGGATACGAAGATCCCGACCCAAATCAAGCCAAAGGTTCTCCATAACCATTCTGAACAGCAATTTTCATAATCTCTAGTAAGGCTTCTTCTGGAGATTTACTAATATCAACTTTCACTTGATTACCATAAGGTAATAATCCTAGAACGGTATAAATCCCTTCAATAGGATATCATCTCCTTCGACCTTTCATCGCGATAAGTGACTGCGTTAAACTAAGTGATACCGCACTTTCTCCTAACTTCTTTTCCTCTTCATAGGCTCAGCCAATAGGGGTCGCATATCTTCCACGGTATTTTTGACGAAATTCTTCAAAACCTTTAAGTTCTTCTTCAGTATTTTCTGGTTGGTTGCCAATTGCCCCCTGGGCTCAAACCATCGCCAAAAATCTTCCATCCACTAAAATGTCATCAAACATAAAAATGGTTTGTTTGCTTAGTCAACCCTCTTGGTAAGTTCAAGAACTAAAGCGTCATATTGAACGCATTATTATGCCTAATGTATCAAGTGCATTGTCAAATGCCTCGCTAGTATTTATTTGTTGATTTGGAACTTTTTGGGAATTAAGTCACTGAAAACTTTTTTTGCTTTCTTTTTTAAGTTCTGTTTGAATTGCTACCAAAGTTAAGGTAGAATTGCCATAATAACGGCGCATTTTAGGCATTTCTTGATTTATTTCCACTATGCTACCTTGATCAATACAAAACTGATCCATTCAAAAATAATCAATTCCTATTTCTTTAAGTTGGCAAGCCTTGGCAGCCTTAAGTAAAGACTTGTATGTATTAGGATATTCTTTTAATTTATCTTTGTACTTCTCATATCAAGTATTATTCACTCCCTCTTCTGCTGAACTAATCTCAGAGTGCTTTTCATCAGATTCACCTTTTTCATTTTTTCAAGATCCTCACGAATAAGATAAAATGGCGTAATTTTTGTACTCTTCAAAGGATGAAGGAGAAGGTATTACATTTTCTATTTCTTTTTTTTGAATATTAATAAGCCTAAGAGGCAATATTGATGGTTGACTACCTCGACTATCTTTCCAATCAATATCTATATTTGGGTATATTGCTTGATAATTGGTTACGCTTGGCTGGTTACTTTCCTCAATTGCAATTTTTCCCTCAAGTCTTTTGTTTAGTTCCTCGTTTTCTACAACATTGATTCTCTTGTACAATTCATCAGGTATTTTGTTTATTACTTGCCGAGTCTTTTCCTTTCTTGCGACAACTTTTCATTTATTTGCTGAACTAAAATCATCAGGTGAAGTGTAACCTAGATCATCTCATTTTTTCTTTTCTAGATTAATAGTATTGTTAACTTTATCGCTTAAGCAAAAGAACGATTCTTTATCATTTTTATTATTGTAAAACCGTCTAAATGGTATTTCAACTTTTTTAGTAAGATGATGAATAAAGAAATAAAACACATCAGCATTTTGATGGGCAGTTGCCTCATTATCGCTATCCCAGTAAAAAGTATTTTTAAAAACAAAAAGTTTATTATCTTTCCTATTATTCGCATAGGTAATTTCTTCTTCAAATTCTACTAAGTAAGGTCATAACTTATTATCTCAACTTTCTGGTACTAATTTGTTTTTTTCTTCTGGAGTAAATTTTTTAATTGATTTGATCGTTAGGGAAACAGATTCAAAATCTCTACTTTCTAGTTTTAAATTTTGTATGTCTCAATTCATAACTTTCTTATTTATAATTTTGCCTTTTGTTGTTGTTGTATTTTAGTCTCCATTTTTGGTCCAGAGTTAAGTTTTTCTTCCAATCGCCCGTTTTCATCTTGGAGTTGTTGATTTTTTTGAGCAAGTTCATTAATTTTTATCTCTAATTCCTTGATTTTATTTGCTTGATTGGAACAGCTGGAACAATTAACCTTATTTTTCTTCATTTCCTCATAAAATGGTTCGACATTTCGCAATCTTCATTTCCAACCACCAAGCCAATTATCGCCCTCTACTTCTCTCTTGTCCCTCCATAACTTTATTCTTCTTGGAATTTCATTTTCTATGTGACTTCTCCCATTGCCATTCTGCACTTTGCCTAATAACTTTTGTTTTACTTCTTGATAATCCTCATTTTTTCATATTTTCACAGCATATATTCTAAATAACTTTATTAACTCCTTGTCTGTTTTATCGTTTATTTCTGTGTGACTACCAGTTGGACACCAACCGGCATAATTTTCCATTTCTATTATTGCTCCTAGTGGTAGATTATTGTATTCTTCTAAATATTGATTTTCTGTCTTTGTTTCATTTGCCATATTGCTTGCTTGTGCTTGTTGATAAGCCTCTTGAACTTCCTGAACTTGGTTAGGATTAATTGTATTCTTATAATTTTCTGTTCCTTTGACTAATGATTGATAATAATTTCATCTATTCATGCTATTAGTTCAAAATTGTCCATGCAAATCACTAGCCCTTTTTTTATGATTATAAGTGGGATTAGTAAAATCTCCCAATTCGTTAGAATTTTCTAAATTACTAATTAACTGCTCAATAAAAAAGGTTAAATAGGAAGTGCTATAAGAAAGGTCATAACCTCCTTTTCATGGGTTAATTTCTGGATTAATTATTTGCACATCTTTTTCATTAAGGTTATATTTTCCTAATATTCCTTTGCTTTGTAATTCCTTTACTTCTTGTTGTTGGCTGTTAGAATAAGAAGTAAAATAGGCCTGCTTAGTCTTTTTATTGATAATCAAAATTCCATGTTCATTTCAGCCTCATTGCCCATCTTTTAATTTGATATGAATAATATTTCATTCTTTATCGGTTAAATCGTGTCCTATTGGTCTAATGCTTCAATTTTTACCATCATATTTACCTACTCCTTTTAAGTTTAAATCATCAAATGCTTTTTGACGAACGTTAGGGTTAGCCTGAAAGAAACTATCTTGGGGTTGAAAATGATACAAAGAAGCAATGAATTTATCGTGTCCGTATGGATTTATTGATGTTTTTGGCATATTTGTATTATATTATAATTTGTTAGTTATTTTAGGTTAAAAAATTTACAATCACTACTTGACAATTAAGCCAATATAACAAATTAGGTAGCAATTGATTTTTAAAATTATACTAATTTGCTATCTCCATATTCTGACCATAGGCAATTATTATATTTTCTATTCTTGTTCGCGTACATATACAGATAAACATCGGTCAAAGTAATTCTTACTTTTTTACTTCTTTATCTATATTATAATTTTTTATTTAATTAAAATATACCCTTGCTTTGGCCGTAAATATTTCAAAGATTTCAACCAATATGAATTATAACTATCCAAATATTTCTTCCCCACAAAAATCACAAATCCCTGTTCCGTTTTACTATTCGTCCAAGCGGCTGCTTCTCAAATAGTGCATTGGATATAGATGCCTTCATCAGTCTTCTGTAAAAGGGAGACTTGGCAAATACCGGTGGTTACTTCTCGTTGTTCAATACTTACCTGACCTAAGCGTTGGGCGTTAACGAATAGGCGGGTGCCTTGATGTCTACTTAAAGCAATAAAATGCATTAAAAATCTTTGTCTTTCTCTAACATCCTGCACTATATTCCCCTTAAATAACAAGTTAATCTCATCCAAAAAAATAGTTTCAGTCACCCCTAACTTTTGACTAGGAGCATAAGAAAAATCCAACTGTGCCTTCTCCGCCCAAGGAAGTTGACAAGGAAAAGTAGCATATTTATTCTCCCCAGGTAATTCATTAGCCAACATAGCCAATATTGCTGTTTTCCCACTTCCTATGGGACCAAAAAAAACCAAACCGTTGCTTTTTTTACAAAATTCTAAGAATTCAGGGGTATTATCTATTATTAGTTGCCCTTTATTCTTAAACAAAACCAATAATAAACCTCCTACTAAAACTCCCAAACTAGCCCAAATACAAACTCCCAACAAGAATTTAAACTTATCCAGTAAATTAGATAAAAAACTTCCTTCACTAGGTCTATAAAAGATAAACAATAAAAAAATTGGAATAATTAGTAAGAATTTATAAGTCTTTAATAATTCTCAATAATTTACTTTTTGCTTATTTTTTTGCTTGGAATTTTTAGCCGTTTCTTTATTCATACTCCAAAACTTTTTTTAAAGTGCTTTTTACTTGCGATATTAATTGCGGACTAACTCTTCCTAAATACTCTAATATTCGTGGTTTACTTTTCTGAACTGCTCTAATGCGATGTAATAATATTCAACTTTTCCTTTTTAGACCAGTTTCAGGTGTGGGAGAAATAGGTATGGCTAGCACTGAAAATAGTTTAATTTCTTCTGCAGTTAATTCTTCCTCTGCACTAATGGGAGCCATCAACATTTGCTTATCATACTCATTTTGGAGATTGCCGCTAATTACCATAGCTGGGCGGATTTTAAAAATTTCCTTCTCTCTTTTGCGGTTAAAATCTACTAAATAGATTTCACCCCGGCAAGGGAAGCCATGAGGGAAAAGAGAGGAGTTTACTTCGAACTTTCCTAACAATATTTTTTTACTCATTATAATCCGTCACTAATGGCCTCTTCCCAAATTTCATCTTCTTGGGCTAATCTTTTACTTTTTGCACTGGCTTTATAGCCCGCAATTAACTGTTCTCTTAATTTGTCGTTTGCTCTTTTTGTTTGAGAATTAGTTTCAGGCTGATAAGTTTCGTAAATGATTCTTTGCTGATCTAAATATTTTTTGATGGATTGAACATTCTCCAATTTAAAAACATTTGAGGCGATTTTTTCCCCTTGTTCTTTTTTTAGCAAAGAGCGTAAAGTCGCATAGTTTTTAGGTTCCATGGTGGATTTTATGTAGATTAGTTTCATAATATAATATTTTAGTATATAGGGGGTGTCTATTGTTTTTTCTTCCTCTCGGGCTTTTTAGCTTTTTTCACTAATTGCTCTTCTTCTGGCTCTTGATTTTCTTGGTCTAAATCTATTTCAGGAGTGGAGGCTATTTTTACTGGTTTGTTTTTATCTTTTTTCTTTTCTTTATCCCACCTTTCTAAATCTTTTTCAGAAATAGGAGAAGTTTTCAACTGATATTTTTTTAAGTTGGATTTGATATCTTTAATTCTTTGGGATTTTTTACGAACTACTTTTTCTTCTTTTTTTCGTTCTTGGAGATATTGCAGTAAAAGATTGCGATTAAATTTCATATTTTTTAACCACTCCTCCTCACTCCTCTCATATCCACTCTCCTCAATCACCCTTAATATCTCCCCTGCCTCTTCAGCTTTCAATTTCTCTTCAAAAATATATCGTAATCAATTCTCCTGATAATCTTTAGGTAT